GGGCAGGGAGGGTAAGAACTTAATTTACATTTAAATTTAAAAAAGCTTTGAAGGAAAACTTTATTTTTTTTATTTTTCACCAGTTGAACGTGAATGCATGTGTACTTTAGATCTGGCTGCAAATGAAGAGAATATTGGGTTCCTCTTTGTATGAACATTAAAAAAGACTGTCTTAAATATTTATAGTTGTATAACTGAATTGACAAATGTCAACTTATCTGATTTTAAATTATATTTGGTAAAATAAAGATGGCATTTATTTATGTGGATTGTGGCCTACTTTTTTTCCCTTCAAGCCATAATTTGTGAACACTGCTCACCCTATTAGTTGAAAATTGTCCTCCTGAACTGGGAAGCTCTGCGCTTTCAGCTAAGGGGCCTGATTTTGTTTGCACCACTACTAATTCTACCCTGATGTATCTTTTTAATTTTTTTTTCAGTGGAGATATTGACACTTTTCTGTAAACGGAGTGAGAGAGAAATCTAGTTCATAGGCTATTGCTAGCCAAGGTTACAGGTCTGATGCTGACATGTACACTCTTGTCTGATAAGGAATTGGCCATTGAATATCACTAGTATATGCTCTCATGCAGCATAAAACTAGACTAGATCCCCTTTCGTATGAATTGGTTGTGAGGCAAATTAGTGCAGCTGTGGAAAGCACCTCAATCACCGAGAAAGCACCCTCCATAGCGATATAAGCTTTGCGTACTGGAGTGGGCACAGACAAAATCCCTGAAAGTTGGGAAAGGGGAAATGTAAGATGAATATTGAGGAAGATTTCCCCTGCGCGGGAGACTTTTTAGAGTGGTTTAGTCTCCCAAGTGAAGTGGTGGGAATCCCATTGTCTGAGGCACTTAAAACCAGACTCCATCCTAGAAAATTCAGGGAACATCTTTGTGTTGGTAGGGAACTGAACTGGATGGTCCAGTCTTAACACTTCATCCTATGAAAGTCTCCAAAGAGACTGAATCACAAACTGGGCTATGCTCCTTTACTTTGACAAGAGTATTGGGAATTTAAAATTAAATACTTCATGGTGCTGTGGCCTAGCCATGTAAAAGTCCTTAATGTGATACAAGGCTTCCCCGCAGCACTGGCTCAGCTGAGGAGAGGAAAGGCGAGGTTACATATAGACAACTTGGGTCTGCAGGCTAGCAGAGGGAGGACTGGGGAAATTCTATTGCAGTTTCTATAGCAGAGTCCATCCTGGAGGATCCCAAAGAATTTACACCATTACTTCACATTCAGCTACCACAGGGCTGAAGGAAGACACCAAACCAGCACACACAGGGCATCTTGGGATGCCAGGACAAGCCCCTACTCTTACAGATCATGCCAAGATGCTCTCTAATAGTTACAAGTTTCGCAGACAGAAGGCCGACTGAAAGTCCCCCACAGGTCTAGATCCTACAGGCTGATGATGTCCTTGAGGAAGGGAGCTGCCTGGCCCCTGCTGGAGCAAGGTCCCATACTGTCAACAGTCTGGATCCCTACCCCTATTTCGGAAGGGAGAAGCATGCAGCTGTCCCTGCTTGCATCGGAGAGAGACATAACTGGTTGAAATATTTCCATCTTTTAAATAGAAACGGCTTTTCAACAAAATGGGAACTTACACACACACACACAATCCCACTTTTTAAAATTGTGGGGAAAAAATTTGGGTGAAGGGGGGGTATTCTCCTTCTGG